CCCATCATGAACCACAGCACGATCAAACTGCCACGGGCGTCCTAACAAAAGGTGCCAATCGTCCATAGGCACGACATCGCACCACGCCTCATCCCTATATGCAGAGCCGATAGAAAAAGACACCAGCACACGCTTGGTAACAGGGACAACGTTGTCGTGCTGTATCCACGCGAGAGCATAAGGATCTGGATGCAGCTCTATCGACAATCCAAGCTTTGCCACGGCCTCATTAGAAATCACGTTTTCGCATGACCCTGAATCAATAACAAAACGACACACTCGACCACCAATCGTGCACGTAGATTCGAAAAGCTGTCGACGCCGACCCTCATCAGTGGAAACGACAGGCGGGGACAAAAGAGAGCGACGAAGGACAAGGGCATGCCCCACGTCTCCCGAGACATGAACCTCTGGAATCTCGGGCTCCTTGTCAAAAATAGGGGGCCCATCATATGTTGCAGATGCCGAATATTCAGCTGTCTCCTCGGTAAACAAAGCACGCGACCCGGCCCCTCGTGGACAAGCCGTCTGTCGATGGCCCAGCTCCCCGCACCCAAAGCATCGAAACCCGCCCCCAGCCCGCTGCATATTGGCGGTTGGCGTCGTCCCCAAATCACCAGTCGTCCGCGGCAGCCCACCGCTGGCCGTCGAGCCGCGCCCCATTGTCGGCACGGAGCCCGAGGGCAAGCCCGAAGCAGGTGTCCCACGCCCGGGCTGCAAGCCTGCACCTGCAACACCACTGGACAGGCCCGTCTTTCGAGCCAGTTGTTTCTCAACAATAAGGGCCCGTTGATGTGCATCCGACACCGACTCCGGAACCACAAGATTAAGCATATCTTGTATAGCAATATGCAACCCCCCAACATAGCGAGCAACCAACTGCCCCTTCGACTCACGTATCTCTACACGAGTTAAGAGACGATAAAAGTCCTCCGTATAGTCGGAAACAGAACGTGGGCCTTGCCTCAAATTGTGTAACTGCTGATAAACCACATGGTCATAATTAAAAGGGAGAAATTCACGTTCTACGTGCTTACGGAACTGCATCCAAGTGGAGATTTCTGGCTTCCCCTGGCGATGCCGCAAGCTCGTTAGTTGCATCCACCAAGCCGCCGCTCGTCCACGGAACCGCGTGGCAACAAGCGCGACACGCCTTTCGTCCGGGACCGCTTTAAATTTTAGGACGGACTCAACTGCAGCCCACCAGTCGAGGAACTCCGTTGCATCGGCCCCTCCCGAAAATTCCAGAATCTCGACCCGAAACCCGAGCTCCCAACGCGGGTCACCGTGGCCGTCAGTCGGACGGCGAAAATCACGCCGGTGCCGTCCGTCAATATCATCACCATCCCCAAAATGACCTCCCCAATTGTGCCCAGGTGCTGTCCACAAATCAAAATCACTGTCTCGACCTCCAACCGGGACCCTACGATGGCCATCTCCTGTTGCTCTAGCCCGACGATCGCGACGACCCTCGCCGGCCATCTCCTCCCAGAACTCATCATCGGACAGAGGTCCCTTCCGGCGGTGCGGGTCATCCGCCTCCGTCTCCGCTGCAGGCCTCCATCGTCCTCGCGCACGGCGGCCGTCAACCCCATCGCGAAGCCCCAGACCCCCGTCCCTGCCATGGCGGAGAAACCCTAAATCGCCGCCCTCGCGAAATCCAAAACCACCAGCTGGATCGCCGTGGCCAGCAAACCCTATCCCGCCGCCGTCGCGAAATCCAGTGCGACCATCTCTGTAACGCGCACGGAAGGCGTCGGCAAATGGGTTGTCTGCTGTCAAGGTTTCGTCCGAGTCTTCGCCGGTTTGCAGTGGTGGTGGTGATCGTCGACGGGGCGCCCCGCCGAATCCTCGACCGCCACGACCCCCACGCTGTCCCACGCGAGCGCCCCGGTCAGCGACATCGCGATTTTGACGCATCTCGTCCATCATTGTACGCATTGTCAGTCGCAGTTCCTCGAACCCCGTTGATAGGTCCGTAAATCGTTCGTCAAATCCGTCAAAACGCTCATCAATCCTCTGAAATCGTTCATCAACGGAATTGTCGATTACGGCTTTGTCCTTCTTCGGCGGCATCGTGGATCGTCGGCTGGTCTTCTGATACCAACTGATGTAGAACGTGATACGAAAAGGGAACAAGGATGAGATACTCTCTCGTGAATGACAAACGTCAGATAAATTTCATAAAACTCTGATCTGCTTTTCTACGCAGCAATACATCAGATTAAATAAAAGAGAGTCCAATCTTGCTAAACAACTGCAAGATAATTATTTTCCTAATTAATTAAAATCAATACGAAATAAAGATAATAATAATAATGCTCGTGACTAATCAAATCAACGCCGAAAGTCGATCGTATTTGTCCAGAAATTCCAACGCGAACTCGTCTCCATCACATAGCCATCCTCAAGATTTCACCCCAAAAAAGGACCTTATCTACAATGCATAATAGCTACTCTCCAGACACAACTCAGGCCAACATTTTCAATCCAAAAAACTCCTCTGTAAATTCTTATTTTAGGAGGTTCTTTGTCTTTTACCGTGACAATTTGATCTCTCCAAATTTTGGAACTTGTGAAGTTTTTTATATTCTTACTAATGGTTTCAACTTCAATTTTTGCCTTACTGTTTCCCAAAACTTCTGATAAACTCAAAACTGATGTGGTTATGGGCTTCTATTGGTCACATTTGAATGTATTACAACACATTTTTTGTTATACTATATAACATGGATGCTATTTATCTACCTTTTACGTTTCGTTGAAGGTCTACAAACGCAGTTACGATATATACACTAAACTCTATGAAAAAGAGCTTGACATTTACTTCATATCTTTACATTTATTGGTATCATTTTTACTTTTCAACCTGTTAAGATGTGATGTGGTAGCCATCTTTTACAATTTTTACACATGATATTGTGTTTGCTTGTTTAGTTGAGATGATTTAATTTTTATTTTTGGAAATGTTGAAACGTTAATATATGGTGCAGAGTTTTGTGTGGAGTTATCAATTGTTTCTGTGAGTTCCTTGTTTAGGAGCTATTCTTTTTTTTTTTT